TAGCATTCCACAGATACCCTTTCATTCTACTACTGTCTTCATCAAATCCGACTCTTCTTTCCTTCACTAACTACCAGAAGGCTCAAGAAGACCTTCCGCCCTATACACCACTCATTAAAATTAGATGAAGGGAATGACACACAAATGTTTCTAATTCCATTTTTTCCTGATATTGTGGCAGAATCTGATCAGTTCAGATGAAAAACTCGTTTTATTACACAATTACTTGCACACTTTTAAAGGGCCTTTTCAAGGTAAGTATAAAGTTAAAAATATGGTGATTGCTAACAGATAGTAATTAAAAACTTCACAATTAGTACACTACAATGACAATTACCAAAATACATTACACTTTTGAAAGGCGTATATGGAACACACATATTAGAACAAATAAAATTATGTAAACAATTTTAATATTTGTTGAAAAAGCCGTGTGGTGTCGTGAGACATCCGGTAAGAACGAAGTCCAGCAAATGTCTCTCTAATACAAGCAGTGAGTACCCCATCTTTCTTTTAACATTTACAAATTCATTTATTTCTAAAACACTAAATGTTTTCTTTTAGAAGATCTGATAGAAGTTCAAAATGTTCTATTATTATTATCTTAGTCAAGTAACCGGAAGTACATATACCGGTATTTTACAACTGGCCAGGCCTTACAGAAACCAGCAAATTGCTGACCAAAAACTTAATTTTCTTTATTTAATTGTTTTGTACCCCCACTACCTGTATGTAAGCTACGTTGAAGTTTAGTTTGGACACTGAGCGACGTCTCTTAGAATTTTGGGAGGACATGGGTTCGATGCCCTGATCTGTGGTTTCCACTTTTAAGAAATACTAGGGTTGTAATATTCCACAGATAATCGTTCATTTATCTTCTGTCTTCATTTCATTCGTCTCATCTTTCTCTTCCCAACCACCACCCAATCACTCCAGGAGGCTCAAAATGACCTTACGCACTACTCATTTCCCACCGCATAGCGATGGAACAGCCAATACACCAGCATTAGATAACGGCAATGGTTGAATGAACCTAACCTAACCTAACCACCACCCATCCATTCCAGGAGGCTAAAAATGGCCTAACGCACTACTCATTTCCCACCGCATAGCGATGGAACAGCCAATACACCAGCATTAGATAACGGCAATGGTTGAATGAACCTAACCTAACCACCACCCATCCATTNGACTTTTTTCAGCTGGAGCATAAAGTAGTATTTATTACTTTTTATTATGCTAGCTGTATAATTTCCGTAAAACTGAAATTAAAAAAATTTATGACCGCGTTGGCAATAAAAACACCATAAAATCCGGATGGAAAGCTAACAATATTTAAGTGCGGTCAGTTATTATTATTAACCACAGATAAATTGATATATGTAATTGCTAGAAAGATGTAGAAATCACTGCGTGATTTATGAACAATCTTTATAACCCCTTTTATGGCATCTGGGAATATTGAAAACACATGAGTGCGACGATAAATATTTTAAATATTAAATAGGTAGGTATTAGAGAAGGCGAAGTGAGCATTTTTGTTCCACCGATTAAGCACATCATTTGTTGATTTAGTGCAGACTGTTATCAATTTTGTGGTTATTAAAATGTCATTAAGACAAACTTCCACCTCGCGGTGTCATTTTATTAGCGCTCATTCTCCTCTTATTTTATTACAATTTATGCAAAATAAATTAATCTAATACACTAGATTATGCTTATTTATGTAGGTTTAGCAAGAAGTTTATGGCTTAACGTTAACACTTATAATAATACAGGAAACTATATAGCAGGTAGAACGACTGTTTATAGACATTAGTTAAAAGTATTCATCATTATAAGGTCGTCAGTCCTAAGACTGGTTGGACACACCTCCACTCTTTCCTATCCTTAGCTAATCTTCGCATTTCCCTAAAACTAGAACAACCCACATCCTTAACTATTTGCGAACAGTAATCTAATCTAGGTCTACCTCTGCCTCTAATATGTCTCTGACTAGACCTTCATGCCTGAGAAGCTGTCCTACCAACCTATTTCGCCTATTTTTATTGACTTCCATAGAATTTCTAAATTAACCGTTCGCGAATATAGAAGTGACTTTTTATTGAACCCTGCGCTATTCTTTTTTATTTATTTTCATGCAGTACTGTCTCGTTAGTACCGCTTCCATTGTTTGTTTGTTTTAATAAATTATGTTTATTTAATTTTAAATTGAACTACATACTACATCCTTTAAAACCAAACTACCAAACGCAAAGTGTCATGACTAAAAAATAGGCCCGGAATTACAAGGTTGCCTAAGGCTCGCTTTAGCCTTACTCCGCCACTGGTTTTATATGATGGTTTATACAGTTAAACATGTTTACAACGTTTGATATTTGTTCGCAGATTCTTTTTGTACTTAAAACTGTTCGTAATCATGGGATTGACTTGGATTTTCGAAGTTTTATCATTTGCTTTCGACAACAACAAAACTTTCGTGGACTACATTTGGTATAATTATTATTACATAACATATGTTAATCTCATAAAATACGTATATCAGTGACTATTTGGTCTATTTTACAGGATTGTAACGGATTATATCAACGCATTACAGGGTATTTTAATAATACTAATATTAGTAATTCTACGCAAAAAGGCCTTGAGGGGGTTGGCAGCAAGAGAAATTTTATGTTTGAAATTTCCGAAAAAATGGACCACCTTAAAAGATGAAGAATGCGACGAAAGCGAAGAAGTACGAACATCATTGTCCCAAGATCACTAATTAATACATGGGTTATTCTGCTTTATTGTACAATAGAATGGTGTAAGATAATATGAAAAAATCTCGAATTGATTTGCTCGATTTTTCGCTAGTGACTTGGGCACAAGATATGGGGAAACTTTACGGTAACATGTTCGGATAATAGACAGCAGAAAACTATCGAAACGGATGATATCAAAATCGTGATCCGCGTTTAAAGATTTCGACAGAATACTTATCAGTTATCACCATAAACTTTTTGTTCTATTTGGTTACATGCCTCAAGAGAAGGATAGGCGAATATTGGTCGAAAATACAGAAAAGTCATAAATAAAGGAGAAAACAAGGACAGATACATGACAGGTACATGACAATTTACAACAATCAGTTTTGGTTGAAGGAATTTACGCACCAACACCTAAGATGGCCGCTAGGGAGTATCAAACTCGTTTTGAAAACATTTTTTACGTATCAAATATATTCTTAAAGATGTTACTGATGGTGTTCATGGTTACTGAGCGAGTATTAAGATGTATTTTATGTGTGTCAGCAAGATAGTCAGCAAAAATTCCTTTACATATGCCATTTCCGACACCGAGAATATTGAAATATCCGAAAATGAAGATGACAAAATCTGAAATATCCGAGTGAATGATGAGACATGTCAAATAAACTCGAAGTAATATAAACATTAAAAAAATACATTTATTATGTCTCAATTATGCAAAATATGACTATTCGATTTCTTTATTAACTATAAATACACAATTATTTTTTGATAATGTCATAATGGTCATAAATAATATAATTAAATTTGGGTATTGAAAACTTCAGATTCTCATTCAAGGTGATTGAAAGCAGAGCTATTTTTATATAATGAAAATAATATGTAGGTTGTTAGTACTGTATACTTCGATTTAAATCCGAACAATTTACGTATGATATGAGCAATAAAGGCATGCTCATTTGGATTTATCAAACCGCTTTAGTCATGTCGAGAGACCGAGTTGATATGCCCGACAACCACATACAACTCATTTCAAACAGTTACAGATATGCCGCTTCCCTTTTCCTGGATACACCGCAATTCAAATTCAATAATAATAATCTATCTTGCTCACGCCTAGTGTTTATTTATTCTTTTGGTACATTACATCTCTAACCGTTCGAAATGATTTGTGAAACTAATTTTTTATCCCATGAGAACAGTATTTTTTTTTCCGGATAAGATGTACCCTATCCTTTTTTGTACCTCTGACAATGAGTGTACAAAATTCAATAATGATCTGTTGAGTAATTAAGGTGTGAATATAGTTCGGATTAGGATTAGTTAGGATTTTGAGAATTTTGTTAATTATTATTTATGTTCCTATTATGTAAATGACATGAAACACAGTACGTCACCAGAGGTCATCGACTGAGCCACTTCGAATTTTCGCCCAACCGCAATTGAATACTCAAGGCGTCCTGCCCTTTTTCTATTGGATGCTAAATATCGAGTAAAACGCTTTTTAAACGATATCTCCAAATATCTATAACTAGCATTTTTTAGTTGCAAGATTTCTAGGTATTATATGATTCAAAAATAATTCATAACTGAAATTTGTAGATATTGCATGACGAAGTTGAGCGAAAATGGGTCGGAAGTAGCCATACTCTGTGTAGAATATAACTTTTCCGAAACTCAACTCTCATATATCATTAGGGCGGTTTGCGCCCTTATAACTAGTATATGTCTCTCACTAACCATTTTAGTCTACATATTGGTGCCAACGCTGAGAGATCTTCAGGTAAATATCTAAATTAATTTTCAAAACTTTTTATCTTTTGCAAAACCCCTGACATTAAATGAAAAACCGCCAGGTTGGAATTGTTTACGGAAGATATTAAAAATTCTAAATACCATAAATATTAAAAATTTCAATCATTTGAAATATCTCTAACTAATTTTAACATTTACGTACCTAAATGTATAATCTAAATAAACAAATTACTACTATATACAGTAGAACCTCGATAACATAAAAACCAAGGGAAATGTAAAATAATTTGAGTTATTGGGGTTTTTACTTACTAAGGGTTTAACTTTAAGCTTTAAAATTATGGATTTCCAGTGACTTAGCAAACTCTTCAGCTTTAACCTTTAGTATAAGTCCACTAAAACTAATGTTTTTACATATTTCTACACTGTCTAAACCATGTAAACAAACATTTTTCTAAATTAGGAAATTCAGCAATTTTTCNCAATTAGAAAATAATCAAATAATTGTACAATTGTAGGGAAAATGTACAATGCATGCCGTAGCAAATTTAACTATGGCTTTTGCAGTTCTTGCAACTGTGCAACTCGGACGTTTTGACTTTCCAGCGTGCGAAATACTAGGTTTTAACATATATTTCTTTTTCCTATCGGCATTCGCGTGGCTAAATGTGACCTGTTTTCATGTATGGAGAAATACAGTGTAAGTTTGCTTTAATTCAAAACGTTGCCGTACAACTATCAGAAAGAAATTAATTTTCTGAATAATTTTCAGACGCCCTACCACACCTTCAAGTCCTAAGTATCTGTACTGGATTTCTATAGCTTATGGTTATGGTATTCCCCTAACATTCCTTACAGGAGCAATAATTTCCCATACTGTGCCTGGAGAACATCTTAAACCTGGCATAGGAACCAACTCATGCTGGTTGTCAGGTGAGCTTTCGATAAAAATCACATCAAGTTTAGACTAGTTGAACCCGTCCAAATTTGGACGGATGTCTACCGCTGCCAATAGTGCATAGGTAGCTTTTGTTGCACAACACCTACTGGTCTTATCTTATCCCTGGTATATAAAAGCACTTTACATGTACCAATAAGGTAAACATTTCCTCCGACAACATCGAAAGATTGGTGTTTTTTAATCAAAAATTCCAATTAAACCTCAACAACACTACTATACATATAACATGCATTTTAATTGAAAACAAAATAATTTGTTTAACGCTGAAAACCTTATAATGATAATGATGTTGATGCCTAATAATAGTTACAAATAATTTTTAACGAGTGCACGTTCTACTAGTTTTTTTTTACAAGAGCTTCTGAAAGTTACCCTAATTTATTGAAGTACTTACAATATTATAATGATACTTTTTAATAGGTGAAAAGGCAAGCTGGATCTATTTTTACATGCCAATAACTTTTGTACTGGTCACAAATATCATAATGTTCTGCTGGACTGGTACAATACTTTGGAAAACAGTTGGAAGTAATTTCAGGCAAAGTCACAAGCTGAAGGTTCTCAAAACAAAGTACGTAATAGGTAATTTTGTATTTCCAAATAGATACCTACACATACGTTAGATTTTATGTTAAAAAAGGGAACCTTTTTTCTTATTCTATCGTGATAATTGTTTAAATTGTCGTTAATCTGGAGCCGATTAAACATGAACAATAAAGAACAATAAGTTCTTAGTGAACAGATATAAATAAAATAAAAATATTATATAAAAAGAATACGCTTCACAAAATTGTAACATATGTTTTTTATGTATGTTTTAATGATTTCTTGAGTAATTGACAATAATTTATTTTAGAATTGTTAGATGCAATTCCAAACAAATGAATGTGTATGTTCTATCTGAGAAATAAAAAGTCTTTTGACAGATTACTGGTGCTGTATAATTAATAATTCGTCCCCATCTCCACCCTTTTTTTGAAGCTTACAAAAAAATCGCCATCTGGGTTCCACCTGTTCCGCCCCCCCCCCCTGTTACTGCGTTGCGTTACTGATACAAATGTACTCTTGTTTAAAACAAAATATGCTTCCAAAAAGGCAAATTGGGATTTTAGTTTACAAATAAAAAATTGGAAATATCATGAAAAATAGTTATGTGTATGTCTGTATTTATTATTTTAAACAGAGACTTGGTTGTGTAGACTTGACCTAATATTTTACGAACGCTTTGTATCTACATAATAAATAAATGTTTTAATCGTACCTTTACAATAAATAANATTATAGTGTACCTATGCTCTTCAAACTTATCTCGCAATCGGTTTAGTAATTTTTTTTTATTGACAGTGTTCCGAAAAATATGAGCGAGAAGTACAAATCCTTCCAGGAATGCTGAAATATCATTCGAAGAAATGGAAAATAATACGTATTTCTCAAAATTTTGCAATAGCTTTCATGGTCTACTACATCACAATTCTTTTGTTTTACAAATCGCATTTACTATTTTAACGATACATATTAGGTTTTTACACCATCTTTAAAAGAAAGGGGTTAGATCATAAATTTGTGAAAGAAACCCAAATTTTTCTTCTTATTTATTCAATGTGAGTCAATGAAATGAGGCGATTTCAAAAATCATTGAAACATGTACACAATAAGGTGTTAGAGGTCTTAGAAATAAACCTACTGTCAGTTTGCTTTTTTTGTCGAGATTGGGTTCCGTCAAAAAGGGGTGGGTCAAAAAGGGTTCCATGGCAAAAAAAGAAACAGCTGCTATAGAGAACCATTCTAGAATTCTATAAATATATGGGAATGAAATAGATAGACGTGGACACTTTGGCCGCCCTTATCTCCCACATAAATGGCTTTATGCATGAACTACCCCAAAGACATAGGTATCCAAGGCACCACATACCAGTGGGTGCTCATGTTTGGCTTAGCAGAACGCTTTTTGGCTCTTTTTAGGGTTCCAAAAGCGCTAATTAAAAACGGAACCCATGTAGGATCACTCATGTGTTTGTCTGTCCATCTGTCACAGTCAATTTGCTCCGAATTTACTGGACTGATTAGGTTTAAATTTGAAATATAAATCTCTGTGACCCAAGCACGGACGCATAACGTAAATAAATTAATTTTCAACATGAGCGTCATTTTTTGGGGGAGGGGAATAGGAAATTAAAAAAAAAATTTTTGTATACTATACCGTGTGACATACCAAATAGTTTTAAAGTTATTTAAGAAAGTAGATGAATATTGATCATTTCTCACTCTTATCTCGGAAACTAGTGAATCTAAAATTTTGAAAAAAATACAGAAAATAGTTTTTTACTTATAGATTACAGGAAAATTAATAATAAGCCTATAGTCTGGACATAACCTGGTAAATCATTCAACAAAACAATATTGTACGTACAAATTTACATTTGCCTTTTGAATGTATGAGAACATGTTTTTTTTTTCAACTACAATGTTAAGTTGGCTCTCAGGTTAGGGTTCTGTACGTCTGAATGAAGAACGGAACCCCTACAGGATCACTCGTGTGTCTGTCTGTCGCCGTTTTTTTTTTATTTAATTACCACAATGCACCAAAATTGAATAAACATTTGAAGTCTTGATCGGGTTCTAATTTAAAAAACAAACGCACGTCATATAAATTCGCTTTAAATTACAACAAAATGTTGCAGTAAATGCATAAATAGTAATAAGAATCGATAACTTTTCCAGAATGAACGTTACTAAATGTATTTATCGATTGGTTTTCACTTAAGTTACTTATCAAAATAGATATATTCCGCTCTGATAAGAAATGTTGAGTGATACACAACAAATTAGTACACTGAATAGTTTCATTATGTGACAGAAACCATGCAGTACTAGTGGCTCTAAAAGAAAAACGAATTTTAAATAAAAAGTGACCTTCACCAAGAGAGAAACAAAAACAATTTTAGTATATTTACACTAACATGGGTACGTGAAATTCAGTGAATGTGAGAAATATTTTAAAAGGTAAGTTACACTATAACAATATTTTTTAAGCTAATAATCTTATCATCATAATCATTTCTTTTCTTTTGGCTTTATCGTGTAATGCATTTATAATGACAATGATTTATATGATAATTTTACATATTAATAATATGTATATGTGGCACAAAAGTAACAAAAACTATTTTTTTGATAAAAAAACTTGGGACAAATCATAAAACGCTACGAGTTCCTTCCCAATTCAGTTGGTTAACCTAGCGAAAAGATAGTTTTTTCCATATCAGTGTAATATTGCGTGATATTAGGACGGTCACCGGTGAACAATATCGCGTTGAATAGATAAAAAAATATGCACACAAGATATTAAGATAGACATTTTCATTTAGGTTCTAAATTAATTAACAGAGTATTTAATAATATGCATTATAAAGCAACAACTTTATCGTTCAGGTTTTACAGAAAAACAAATTCTTCTATCTAAAGTATTAATTTTAATATCCTGTCAAATGACCCCTGAACTAAAATAAAAAGCTCAGGAAATATGGGACTAGTTTACATTAAGGGGATGTCACCTAGTGGTAAACATTGAAACAGCATTTTTTTTCTGTAAGCAAAATGTAAACTCAAAGCGCGATGAAAAATAATTGTTCGTTTTTTCATATAAAACCATACTTGTATTTGAGTACAAGTATTTAAAATACTCCACTCAAATACTCTTAGACTATTTTTATTTATATTTGAAATACTTTTGAATGAATGTATTTATTATTTGTAATTAAATACAAAATTTTCTTTATTTTGTTTGATTTTTATTGATATTTTGATAATATTTTTTGATATGAAAACGATTTGTATACAATTCAATTCAACAAATTATATAATTATGTATAAATTGCTGAGAAAGTTGTTATAATAATTGTAATAATGCAAATATGTTTTCCGATAAAAAATCTTAAGTTAAGTATTTGTTTTTGTATTTAAATACTTTTAAACAAGTATTTTTTATAAGTATATACTTGCTTGAAAATATTTATTTAAATGTTGTCTCTTTGGTGTAGCAAACTTTTTAGAAGAAAACATTAATATATTTGCGTTTTATACTTAAAAGTTTTCTATTTATATTTTGAAAACCTTATCTATGTTTGTATTTGTCTTTAAATACTTTTAGACAGTTATTTTTTACAGTTATATACTTGCTTTAATTCATTTTTACGAAAAAAACTTAAAAGTATTTGTATTTGTATTTCAAATGCTTTATGAACATTTGTACAAGACCAAGTATTTGTATTTATATTTAAATACTCTATTTACTCTATATAAAGTAAGAATATTTGTATTTAAGTATTTTTCAGAAGGTATTATTTACAAGTCTGCAAAGGGCCACTTAGTATCCTATAGCAGGGATGGCGAACCTTTACGTATCGACGTGTCATT